CTTTCGGTTGGAGAAGGGGGCAAGTTTTCTTCGTTTGACAAACATCGACAATTCCTCCTCTTGACCACCCATTCAGGAGAGACAAGAAGAACTTTCGAAAAAGGTGTCACAGTGGAAGACTCTCGTGACCGGAAATGATGACAGTGCCTAGGTTCTTGAGATGTTAGATGGTCTTGTGGTCGACAATGAAAAGGGGGGCTTCGTGGGATATGGAAAAGAGCATGCTCGGACACACAAGTCGTGCTTGTGGAAGCTTCCTTACTTTAAGGACCTCCTTCTTCCACATAACATTGATGTAATGCACAATCGAAAAGAATTTCGCCGAGGCGGTCCTTCACACAATCATGGGACTGGGAAAAGTCAAAGGACAATGTCAAGGCTAGATTGGATCAAGCAACATTTGTGCAATAGACCAAAGCTAAACATGTTGCCTCCCTTACGCGGGAAGTCATGGAAGAAGCCTAAGGCCGACTTCGTCCTAACGAGGGCCCAAAAGAAAGAAGTTCTTCAATGGTTCCAATCGTTGATGTTCTCGACGGGTATGCAAATGAATTGGAGGAGGGTGTGAACTTAAGTACCATGCGAATCACAAAGTGAAGAGTCATGATTACCACATATGGATTGAGCGCCTTCTTCTTAGGTGATGGTTCATGGCTATTTCCCGATCACATCTGGCAGTGATGATGAGAGTTGAGCATGTTCTTCCGCAAGCTATGTGCTAAGGAGATATCTCGGACCGAGATTGAAGAAATGGAAAGAATGGCCCGGTGTTGCTCGCAAGTTGGAGAAGATCTTTCCCCGGCTTCTTCAATCCGATGCAACATTTGCTCTTGCACCTACCATATGAGGCAAAAATGGGGGCCCTATGCATGCCCGTTGGTGCTATCCAATTGAGCGATGCCTCAAGGTTCTTAGAATAAAATGCAAAAATAAATGCAAAATTGAAGCTTTCACGTGCAGAGAGGCATCCATTGTGGAGGAGGTGTCATACTTCACAACAAGATACTATGCCGACAACCTTCCTAACGTGCATAATCCACCCCTCGTTACAATAATGTCAGCCGACAATCGATCGACCCTCGGCCTTTTCCGAGGGCAACTCGGAAGTGCAAGTGAACCTACCTTGAAGATGTTGAGCCTAGAAGAGTGGCGCTCTATCCAAATTTGTATGTGTTATGGAACCTTGAAGAGGTTGGCCCGTACATCATGTAAGTTTTACACAAACTTGTTTCTTTTCTTGTCAAGATTTCGCATGCACCCATCCAACCCTCTTGTTAACGTCCGTTACAGCAAATTTGTTCTCCTCTACCATCGTCCATCACGGAGGGAACCCCACCAAAGCGGAAGTTGAAACCCTTCTAAGACATGGCGGCGGAGAACGAAATCCCACTTTTATTTGTTGGTTCAAGGAGGAGTCTTGTTCAATTTCATTTGTTGTTTGTACTTAACTCTCAACTTGACAAATATATAACGAATCATCCTACTTGAACTAGCGTGCCAAAGCCCGACATGTCTATGAGTGCCGAGTTGAGGCAAGTTGCCAATGGATTTGAATTTAGGGTCAAGTCATTCTCTCGTGGTGCGATGTCAATGGATATCGCTTTCACACAACTCGGCATGAGCAGAGTCGGCCGAATCGAAGAACCACAAATACCGGTGTTTTCACGCCAGCATGAGATGGGTTGGACTACTATAGAATAATTGAAGAAATATACAAACTCAAGTTTCTGGTTGTGTACCTCTTCATCCTGTCATATTCAAATGCCATTGGTTTGATCCCAAAGAAGTGATAAAGACCCCGAGCTTGGGTTAGTCGAAGTTCTAAAGTCATCCGTCTTGTTAGGAGACGACGTGTACATTGTGGCCCAACAGGCCACGCAAGTTTATTATCTCTCATACCCGTGCCAAACCAAAGACCGTCTTAAGGCGTATGATGTTGTGTACAAGGTATCGCCGCATGGTAAAGTACCCGTCCCAAACGATGATGATTATAACATAGATGCAAACACATATGACGGAGAGTTCTTTCAAGAAGAAGGATTAGAAGGGAGTTTTGAGATTGTCTTAGATGTAGATCTCATGAATGGAAGTAGACAATGATACGATCATTGTTGACGGGGATGATGGAGAGGAGGTTCACAACGCGAAGGACTTGTTATTACTTGAGCAACACCATTCAGCAAAGGTCGCTAGTGATGAGACTTTGAGAGACGATCATAATTACGTCGACAATAGCGATGATGAGATTTTTGGCCCACCTATCGATGATCTTGATGATTATTTCTAGTACATGTAAGATCTGTAGTACTTATGGCAATTTTATATATGTATGATACATTTACTTATTTTGCATCTCTTTTATACATGTATGATATATTTACTTATTTTGCATCTCTTTTATACATGTATGATACATTTACTTATTTTGCATCTCTTTTATACATGTATGATACATTTACTTTTGTATATGCGTACTGATAGTTTATTCCTTTTGTTGCAGGTGATTGATGGTGGGCGGTGGAATCAGGAAGCTTAGGTCGGTTATGACCTTCTTGGTGGTGGCGAGGGGTCCAGCTGTGGTGGAGGGGAGGGTGTGCCAGGCCGAGGGTGGAGGCGTGCCTAGGGAGGGAGGAGGAGGCGACGACGAGGGCGTGCCCAGGGAGGTGGAGCCCAGGATGGAGGAGGAGCCCAGGGTGGAGGAGGAGGACGGCGACGACGAGGGCGTCGAGAGCCGACACCTCCTCCACAGGACGACGACCACGAGTTCGTAGCGGCCACGGAGGAGGATGAGGAGGAGGAGGAGACCAGGGAGGAGATAGCGGAGGCGGTGGAGGAGGCACGGAGGGAGGATGCTTCCGGCGGGTTGAGCCTTGAGGAGGATGCCGACTTGGTGGCGAGGAAAATGGGGTGCCTATGGTTTGGTCATGCGAGGGTCGTCGCGCCCCCAGACTTACCCATACTGAGACGGCCCGGTGATTCGACCATCCGGAACTAAGTAAGTAATTTTTTTGCATGTTAACACTAATTCACTGGTTTTTAAGTTATAATGAAACTAATATTCAATCTCAATAACTTTGTGCGTGGATTGGAAAATGGTGATCCTGTGGAGTCACTCTCGCCGAGTAAATGGGATCCTAGGTCTTTGTCTTGAGGCAAACTACCCCGGGATGGTGAGGTTCGATGGTGTTGTGCAGCCCGCCATGAAGTGGTCCCAGCGCACGCCAATGATCGATCGATCGAGGTGGCAGGTGTTATAACAAAGCAAGGCCGACCGGGTGATGAAAGAGAGGCGTCAGGTACGTGTTCATCGCACTATGCCGATAATAACATCACATTAATTGTATATTCGATCGTATTTGCTTGTAGGATTACTACACCTTGGCGGAGGGAGTACGAGGGAGGACGCGGATGACGTGGTGAACAGAAAGTCTCGTGTTCACCGAGTGCAGGACCTCTTCTACGAGACAAAGCTCCTGTGCGGAAGAATTTACCATGCCCGTAGAGGAAACAGAGTCACACAGAGCTTGAGGCAAAGGCACCCGCCCCTAACTAAGGAGCAATACTTGACGGTAAACATGAGATTACATCGTGCGTGATTAATTGCAATGAAATTGATTTATGATTTGTCATGTGCTCGTATGCGTCGCGGTGCCTCCCGCTTGGTGTGCGGGGATGGACAAGCTGGCTGGGAGGCCATTGTGGACACGTGGTTGAGTGAGGAGTACGAGCAATATCACGCCAGACGCTCACGTTGTTGCATGCGATGATGCGGGGTTCCTCGCACAAACAAGGGCCCACTACCCTCAAGGAATATGCAGCCATATATGTACGCGGATTTCATTTCGTTGTTGCTACGCTAACTTCGAATGCATAATATCTTATTGTTGTGCTTCTTCACAGAAGCGGTTCCACCCCGGCCAGAGAGGCGCCTCGTTCAAGGCATATACCTTGGCACACAAGGGCAAGGCAAAGGACCCGACCTCGTCTACAACCCGGAGGACCCTACCGAGGCATACAAGAACTGAAGCGTGCACGATCGCCTCAATGAGTAGTACCACAGCGATGGCGAGAGAGATCCATGGGCGAGAATTTGATCCGAGCACCGGCTGACCTCGAGGGTGACATCGTCATGAGGTTGGGACCAGGTAAGCCACACGGGAGGTACTATATGGGCAACAGCACCATAGACACGGCCAACACTCAGACACTCGCCCAGATTAGAGCCCGGAGCACGAGTTCGAGCCCCGGCCATACGCCCACGCCACAGCCCTGGTGGTAGCACTCGAGTTAGTTCTGTTGCATTCGTTGTCCATTCATTTTCTACCCGTTCTTTATTTGCATTCTAACTATGTGATAAATAATTGTAGGCCCAGATTGAAGCCCTGCGAGAGTCACAAAGAGCCTCACAGAGATTGGCCAGCCCTCCGGCTATCGTGACCAGCCGAGTTGGCACAGGAGAGAGGCGCGAGTGCAGCCTGACTTGAGGCCTTCCAAGCAGTGATCATGAGGGCTGAAATGTACGAGTACATGGCCAGCTTTTCTCGAGCATGGGCCAGCCTCCACCGCCTCCGCCGCCGCCCGATGATACCGTTGGTGCCTCCACCTCCATGCAGCACTCCTGTGAGTCACTCTTCATCTTGAAAGGCTTTTCAGATTCAGATTGTGCTACACGATCAACACTATCATGTTAGAACCTAGAAGAGAGTAGGATACATACATGTATAAGTTAGATTATTAGTAATATTGTTCAGACCTTGAAAGGCATCATGTTAGGTTCTACATGAGTACATAGGTGTTTGCCCAATTCATGTTCGGTCTACTCGACCATGTGTGACGATATCTTGCACATAGAGGAGAACTAAACAACAACTAACTTGATATGTGTTATCTATTATATGCCTATATATTGATGTCACGTTAACTGGTCTTCGAAGGAATATTTGAATTTGGCATACTACCTTATGATTAATTGACAAATATGTTTATTTTCTTTTGCTCCCTCATTCCGAGGGGACCTTCTACAATTTGGATCGAACAACGATCAAGACTTGGACTTGTCTCCGTTTCTCGTGAGGGGCTCCGACCATGTGACAGGACCATGCTTCACTTGTTTGTATGTTGAACTTAGAAGTGGGTTGAACTTTGTGGACTTTGGACATGTTGATGGTGTTTGTGGACTTTGCATTGTGCTTGTGACATTTGTTGTAGCTATATGTTGGTTATAATGAGTGGATGTGACATTTGTGGACATATATGTGATATATATTGTCTATCTGCGTCAGAATCTGTGATATTCTCGTTATAATTGTTGTTAATTGTGGCTGGATATGCAATGAAACAAACAAAAAAAATATCTGTGGACAAGTTTACCGAGTGTAACACTCGGTAATGGTGATGTTTATCGAGTGTTACACTCGGTAAAGTAGAAGAAACAGAACCAAATTGGTTCGATTCATTAATTTTGCCGAGTGTGCCACTTTTTACCGAAAGTGCCCACGACCCCACTCGGATATATGTGCCATTTTTACGAAAGTGGAACACTCGGTCATTAAATGAGTTACATGTTTACCGAAAGTGTTACCGTACACTCGGTAAACTATATTAGGAAAAAAAATTTGCGGAATTGTTTTAATCATAAAAATGGTTATACTGCTTTGAAAGTGCTATGTCTAACACTCGGTAAACGACGCCGTTAATCTTAACGGCAAGCTTGGGGACTGACGCAAATCACGTCGTAGTTGTTTATCGAGTGCGGCGTAGCACTCGGTAAAATTTATTCTCGAGTGCCCGTTAGTTGACACTCGGTAAACTAACTTTTACCGAGTCGTTGTTTACCGAGTCATGTTTATCGAGTGTGGCACTCTGCAAAAAATTACCGAGTGTTTATCCATATTTGCCGAGTGTTTATCACACTCGGTAATTAATCAGTATCCCGTAGTGGTGTGAGTGGAGCCGAGAGAAGTGGCAGTAAGTTACAGCTAGAAAGCTCAACCATTGATCCTCAGACTCAGTAGTGCCCTTAACCTTGAGATCAACCTCAAAGGTGGCAGGGTCCAACACCACAACGGCACGTGTAGGGCCTATCAATTTCAAATATGGATCCTACTATATATATGCAACACCACCAAATAATCGGAAGATACCATCAGCCATGATGGATTAATAAATAATATATATATATATATATATATATATATATATATATATATATATATATATATATATATATATATATATTAACTCAGGTATGCTACTTTAGCTTGATTATAAGAATGATGAAATAATACGAATTACCTGTCGGGTAACGATTTGGCAGTTGTCTCTTGGGCGGTCAAAGATGATATTGCGATTGTGATGGAGGCAGTCACGTATGGCAACCATCCCAAACACCTGGAGCGGCCACTGTATACCCAGTCTCAGCTTTGCGATTTTGAGTGGAAAGACCTGCAGGGTAGTTCGTGGGCTAGCACGGTCATGAGGCTTCTTGTACGTGAAACGCTTGTTTGGGATCTTTAATTTGCTGCAACGCAAGTAGATTAATTAATTTAGAATAAGTTATTAAGGAGTCCATCGATCAGCTACTAGCGACAATAATATATGAATGCATATACAAATTAGATAAGGATGGTATATCTTATATAACTACTATATATCAATAATGTTAAGTTTATATATTGGTGAAGTTGTGATCCATCCATGCTAGGTATGTAGCACAATATATATATGTACGGCATTCGTACTTGTTGTTAACCTTAGCTTGCTGGGAATGAAAAACGACCTAGCTAGTTAGCTAGGGCAAATAAAAGGCAAAAATTGAACAACAGCCCCCGGCCCGGCCAGTTAAGACGTACTGTGCAAATGCATCAAGCCGAGATCTATCTAGCAAACATAACATTAATTAATTGTGATTATCTCGGTTGGACATATATATTGAGGGATAGGAGAAAACGATCGACGCCAGGATATATAGGATTAGGACGAATAGGCTACCGGCCGGCCGGCGGCCAGCGACAGCGCAGTAGGATCGACCGATCGCGAGGTACCAAATTGCAGATTAAAGAAGACATGCACATGAGGTTCCATCATGCATGGATTTGATCGGAGAGCAAAAAAATAACTTACTAGTGTCTTGGAAGCAACCGCAGTAGCCCGAATACCGGCGGTTCCATGTATCCCTAAACTCGCTAGCCTCGACGCCGAAGCAGTCGTCGACCTCGGCCACTTCTTCTTCTTCTTCTTCCGCTTGATCCGCCACCGTCAGCCTCTTCTTCTGCTCCTGCGCAGCCGTGATCTCCATCGACGCCGCCGGCCGGCGCGCGCTGACGACCAACGATCGTGTCCTGTTCTTCGTTGATAGATGCGTGTTGGTCCCTCATGCATACTTTTGGCTTTATTTATTTGCCCACACCCCAGTCCGATCCGGCCCCCACCCGGAGTCCCGGACTAGTAGGCAAAAGATCGAATTTCATTTCCGTGTTGGAAACGGATACGAATACGAATACGACTACGTACAATGCAATGCAATGCAGACGACGGCGGCTCCAGCTTGCCCTATAAACGGTGGTACGGGAGTATCTCTTATCTCCCCGCAGTTGAGAGATGCAAAAATCGTCCATGCATGCCACGGCTGTTAATTTGGCGGATCCATGCATCATCATCATATAATATGCAGCCAGCCATGGCAGCCCCGCCGGTGGCAAATGAACCAACTTTTGATCCAGCAAGATTACAGTTATAGTGTATGATAATATTATATATATATATATATATATATATATATATATATATATATATATATATATATATATATATATATATATATATATATATATATATATAGAGAGAGAGAGAGAGAGAGAGAGAGAGAGAGAGAGAGAGAGAGAGAGAGAGGGAGGGAGGGAGAGAGAGAGATAACAGCGTGCATGCACCTCCGGCTCGATCGGCAGCCCCTTGCTACGTGGCGAGATGGATGGCCGGAAACATGACGCTTGAGTTGGCAAGCTTGAAGCATGCCGCACAACATCTTTATCTCGGAAGCACGACAGCATGATGTCATCTCAGCACTCTAGTTATATGCCCCGGCTTTTATAATACAGTCCTAATGGTTGTAGCGCTGGGAGAAGGATTCGGTAATCGTTGATTACCGATCCTTCTCGTAAAACTATTCTCCTTCATCTTAATGAAATACGTGACACGTCCGCGAAAAAAAAAGATACACAATGTATGATACGCCTCATTGCCTCATTGGCAGGCAACGACCGTAAACTAGTGCTGCATGTATCCATCGGATCCATCCTGGAGTAGTAGTGCTGACTGCTGACTGATGCTGAACTGAACCTATCGTATAGTACGTATAAGTTCCCTCCCGACAAGGGCGCCTGCAATGAATCGGATCTCGGTGGCGCCGGACATGGGCCGGCGTATATATCGTCCATCCATCCATGGTGGTGGCGCGTGCACTAGCTGGCCCGGCCTGCAGACTGCAGTGTATGTGCCACCACTGCCGTGCGCCCGCGCCGGCGGCGGCCGCCCCAGCAGCTGTTGTTTCGCTTGTTCTCGCCGGCCGGCCGGCCGTCTGTCCGTCCCCATAGGCATGAATGGCCGGATCATGCATGCATTCGATCATTATGAGGCCAGAATGCATCGCGCGCACAATTCAACCACCGTTGCGCCATCACCGGCTGGCCGGACCAGCCGGACGTCGCTGTCCGGCCGTCAGAGATAGAGAGGGATCGGATCGGATATAAACACCACGCACGCACGATCGACTTCCTGTCATCATGTCGCGCGACCTTATTAGCTTCCTGCGCAGATCGATGCAGTCCATCCGTCGCCGTGGGACACGGTGATAACTGACGATAATCCTTTTTTTTTTGTTCCATATATACAGCAAGCTTAATATACCTCTTTTGACATATATCGGAGTTCATTTCGATCTTTTCTCTACATATATTAGATATAGAGAATAAAATAATTGATAATCATCTATATATATATATATATATATATATATATATAGACACACACACACACCATTTGGCACAACTCATAGCTCCGAGATCCATTTTGATTTGTAGTTTGTAGATTAAATATATATATATATATATATATATATATATATATAGAGAGAGAGAGAGAGAGAGACACACACACACACCATTTGGCACAACTCATAGCTCCGAGATCCATTTTGATTTGTAGTTTGTAGATTAAATCACGATGGTTTGAGTATTTATATTTTGCCCACAAACCATAAACAAAATGAAATATCTAAATACTCTCAACATATCTCCTAACTCATCCAAGATTTCTTCACTACTACTACTACTACATAAACCTCTCATCACTGCTGGTGGTTTTAGGTCATGGTGGGGAAAGTGGAGGTGATAATAATCTTCACCACTGCAGATTTTAAGTTGACAGTGAAAATGACAATTAATGTCTGCTTGTTATACGAACCGGTGCTTTATAATCATTAAAAAAATCAAGCTACCAGTATCAGCTGCTATCCACGTCGTTGATGTCTCCTCGCCCTGTCTCGTCGTCGTCTCCTTGCTTAGCCCGTCGCTTCCTTGTACCACAATCCACTCCCACTGTCCCCAGATCTGAGAGGGAGATTCGAATAGATCCGAGAGGAAGAAAGAGCGAGAGATGAAAAGGCACCTGCACGCTTGGGGGAGGGACGCTGGGGAGGGAATGGTGCCAGCGTTAGAGTCACCATGCCTAGTTGCTCATGCCATCCCTTAGGATAGAGAGAGGAAGAGAGAGGGAGGCGTGAAGAAGAAAGAGGGATGGCGAGAGAGATAGAGGAGTAAAGAACACACAGGGGGCAGTGGGTGCATGGATCTGCCCCCACCCACCCTCACAAGCGCCAATCAAGGGTTGACACACAGGCGAGTGGGCCTTGCCTGCCAGCCACCCTAAGAAGCACAATGTTAGGGCCACCGTTAGCCATTTTCACCGACAATTGATATAATGGACAATCAGTGAAAATGATTTTCACCGCCGATTGGTTGAACCATTAGTGAAAATCATTTTTAACGCCAGTTAGTCGTATTACAAGCCAGCGATGAAATTCATCACAAATGGTTTTGTTCAAACTGACAGTGAGAATGCCGATGACAAAAACATATCTATAGTAGTGTTTAGAGCTTAAAATATCCAACTCTTCTTGAAGTTGATCTATACCAAACAGGGCCATCATATACATTTTGCTCAACACAAATGCTAGCTAGACCAAGCTTAAGTATAGCTACTTTTTTAATTTTTGTTGTTTCAAATAATGTCTTGCTAGTATAATATGTCTATTATTTTAGTATTTGGACAGCATTTCCATTACATATGGTACAATTATGAAGTTAATCATAAAGAAAAATAAAATTACTCAGCATTGCCGTTACATATGGTACAATTATCCTAGAAATACGTGTATACTTATATTTGTAAATTTCCCACTACACATATTATGAAAAAAGATTCACCCAAAATGCTCATGTGTGTCCTTCGTTTCACAATACTTGTCATTTTAGCATTGACAAAAGAGTCAAGGAGGTTAATAAAATGACCTTCTTACACTTATAGTTAATCATCTCTAAAGTGTGTGCATTCATGATATCAAAAGTACAAGCTCACTCTAAATTATGGAAGTTGTCTTGAAGTTCTAAGTAATTTGAAAAATATATATAGTAGAAGAAGCTAAAACAACAAGCACTATGAAACAAGAGAACAATTCTATATCTATATCTATATCTATATCTATATCTATATCTATACTTAATACTAAAGAGGCAAAATTTCTAGCCACTTTAGATTTTTCGTTCAACTTATCTCAATCCGAGTACAAGTAGAAATTAAGAAAAAACTATGTATCTATATGTATACCCAGCTATCCCAATCACCGACCGGCTCGGAAAGTCCCTCGTGTTGTTTTTCTCCCGTTTGGGTGTAAACGCCAGATTTTTCTGTGCAAAACTATTCTGTACATGTCCTTTGCAGTTTTTTTTTTTGTTTTTTAGCGTTTGCCTTCTCCGCTCGTTTCAGTTTCATGACTTTTTTCGTCTTTTATTTTATTTATTTATTATGTCTTCCGTTTATTCCGTAGATTGGCATGATCTGGTTAATTATTCAGTATTACCACTAACGTGTCAATTGTAACCGATCAATATTTCCCGCATCAACCTTTACATGGCCGGCACACTGGAAGCGATAGAGGAGATGGCGGCGGCGCCGCCGTGCCAAGATCTCTCCTAAGAGATCATTGAGGGCATCTTCACGTGCATGCCAGCCAAGTCGGTGCTCCAGTGCCGCCGCTGCCTTTCCCGTGTCTGGACCACCACGCTGTTTTCGGACGCCTTCGTCGACAGACACTTCAACCCTACCACAATCACCACCACGAAGTTCCTAGACTCTGCTTATTCCTGTCGTGCTCGGCCGCTGCGTCGATGGTGTACGCGTGGTCGCCAGACCTCGGGAAGGGCATCTTCATGGCCATCCCGCACAACAATCGCAACGGAAAACTACATGCCGTCACCGACATGTGCCGCGTCCTCCTCCTCCTGCGCGCGATGGCCGCGAGGATGTACTACCTTTGCAACCCGTCCGTGGGGCTCATCATGCTCCTTGACGGCCATAGCTCATCTGCATCGCATGCCGCCTTCCAATCGACACCAACCGCACAGAGGAGCCCATGGCGAGGTGAGGAGAAACCCAGAGCTATGTCAGGCCTTCTCTTTCCCTCTCTTTTGAGTTTGCGTGGCTGTTCAAGAAACAGTCACCACCGTCTTCTTGTTCGCCGTGGAATGCCACCGACGTCGCTTTTCGGCCACCAGCAATAGGCCGTTGAACTCGCGATGACGTTGCGATGCTACAAAGCCCCTTTGCACGCGCCGAGGAGAACCACATGTGAGAGATCGCTTTCTTGTTGTGCTGCATCCATGGCTGTGTTCTAGAAGCTTCGAGACACAGGGGAAAGAGGGAGCTCGTTTCAGCTACTGGATCTGAGATGGAGGACTAGGATTGGTTGTTGACTAGACTCAATGTAGCCAGTCAACAAGGAGACGGCCAGTCAGCCGGCGTTGGTTTGCAAGAATCCCCGCTCTTTTCTATTTTTACACGAGAAAATGTTAAAGTCTTAGTGATTTATAGAGAAAATCGCAAAACATCATTTTTCTTATGAAAAATGCCCTACAACTTACCTATAGGATACCTTTCATGTTTTAAATCTGTTTTTGATGAAACTTACGCTCACGAGTTCATATAGTGATGAGTTTTTCCCATTGCAACGCATGAACGAGTCCT